GTCGCAGCATTTAACCTTGCAGGCAAAAGGTAGGGTCCAAATAGTCGATTACGGTAGATCCACACGTTCACACTAAATTCATGCTGAAAATTTCTTTCCCGAACTGCATGCGGATTTTCATGCGACCAAATATGTTGATTATGAAAATTTACCACTCCACGTCTAGTGAAGCATGACTCATCGGTCCATAAAGCGTTACTTAAAAACTCCCTATTATTATCAGTTCTATCAAGAATCCACTGACAAAATGTGATTCTTCGCTCTCCGTCCCCTGGCTGTAGTCCTTGCACAGGTTGCAAATGGTAAGGACGTCTATGGTCATTTCTAAGAACACGGTGAACATGGCTTGCTGAAATTCCCAAAGCACCAGAAACTCTCCTAACACTTGTGGTCGGATCTCTATTAAAGTCACGCAGAATCATACGGGTAAATCTGCGCTGACAGACATTTATATTTTGATCCCTTTGGAGATTTCCAAAACCATTTTCAACTATTTGGCAATGCACTCTTACAAATACTGAGCGAGTTGGATGTCGTGGTATTCTCTGGCTGCTTCTGCTGCGTTTCCATTTACAAAGCCATACACAAAATGAATATCCGCTAACTCTTGATTGGAGAATAAAAATGGCATTTTTATAAAACTTACAAAAAAAACAGGTGAAAGAAACTAAATTTCGTGCATTCACAATTGCAAAAAAACGTTTCAGGTTTCAACAGACAACAAAACTAACTGTCAACTAATTGACGTTTAACCTTATTCTGCTTTCAATTTCAAAAATATTTGCAGGCACAGCCTACTTTTAAAAATTATCGAGATACTGACTTTTTAACGTTATTTTATTATAAATAATTAAAAATGCATCGAACCTTAAAAATCGAAATATCTCAAAAACAGCTAACTGTAACGAAAATTCACAAGAGAGCTTTTTTATGCAGAAGATTGCGAGGAATCAGTTTTCTTATTCAAAAGGCAAAAAATTGCACTAAGAAAAATTTTTAATACACTACAGGTACAGTAGAGAGCGCCGTCTAGCGGCTACAGTAAAACTATGCCCATGGTTCGTTTTGTCGTATCAAAAAACCCTTGTATACCAATTTTTACTGTTATGCATCAAAGATTGTTCGAAATATTTAAAAAAAAAACTATTTTAGAAAGTAAATTTAAACACCCTGTATTTCGGAAGCCACGCATTTTTCGTTTATATAGACTTTATGCATTAATTTTAAAAGTTCTATCGAATCTTAAAGTTATGCAACAATAAACTGAAACACCCTGTATAACAGTTATAATGAGGATTCCAAACCAACGAAGCATATTCCAATTTGGATCGTACATATACAAAGTCTAATATTTTAAATCCAGCCAATAATCTTACAGTTTCGAACAATAAAACCTAAAGCTCACTATTTACAGTTTGAGTATGCGATAGTCAAAATTCATCCTACTGTCAAATGTCAGGCCTAAATCAGAAACCTTTTCGTGCCGACTGATTACATTTCCCCCTGTGTTATAAGGGTAAATTACTATTTGTTGTTTTGGACAGAATGTAACCACTTTGCATTTAGCGATATTTAGATGCAGTCCATTCAATCGACACCAATCTTCCAACTTAGATAATCGACACTGTAAGTACTCACAATCAGTGATGCTGTTGATTTCAAAATCAACGGCGAGTATTGCTACTTGGATCGTTAATAAAGAGCAAAAAAAGCAATGGTCCCAACTTCGAACCCTGTAGTACCCCTGAAGATGCTGTATAGTAAAAAAATTAGAAGCCATTGTATGATGTGAATAGCTGACGATAAAGAAGTATGATATTGAAAACCTCCAAGTTGATTGACGGAAGTCTCTCATGTGAAACAGGTTATGCTGAGTTATGCTACTTAGAAGATTTTTTCGCCAGATCCCGTAGTGAATGGTGCGGGGATAAATGGAATTTAGGCCTCTTCTCGATATTTTGACAGTTTCATGTTACACCGGGAGTGGTAAAGTGGCGCATGTTGCGCAAAATTTTTGCTTTAAACTCCTTGATGAACTTAGCTGCCTCCTGAAACTGAAATTAAAAGACCGCTCGTTTTTTGTGCAAATTTAATTTGAAAAGTATACGACTTTATTTTTTTATATGCTTCTGATAACTATTATGACTTGACCTATCCCGCGTTTCCGACCTGGCGTCGACTTCTGGGATACCCTGTATTCCATAAGTATATCATGACGCTGAATACCAAGGTCACTAATTCGAGGAAGATCAAAAGTATCTAATCTCAAGTTCGAGAGTCAATAACCCTGAAGTTTATTGGGCTGACAAATACAAATATACTGAAATACATACAATAAACACATTTCATTATGAATACACGATTAATTTGCTTTGTTAGCTTCCTCGTTGGAAATTGGACGTGACAGATGTGATTCCATCCACCTTCCACATTCAGTGGATATCCGTTGGATATACTAAATGCATAACATTAGTATTGTAATAACCAGATTCTTGGATATAAGCGGACATCTGGATATTCAAATGGATATCCATTGGATACATCTGTCCAATGAATATCCTGGATATCTACCGTGGATATACAGGGTGATGCATCGAAAACGAAACAGACGCATTTACTGGTAGCTCAGTTTTTTTTTGGAAAAACGCTCAGACTCGTCGATTTGATTTTCGAGGCGGATACAAGTTTGGCAAAAAATCACGTTAGCACGTGCAGCCCCCTAAGCAGGGGTGACACCACCCCCAAAATCTTAAATGGAAAGGGGGGTCGAGTGATACCTTATTTTAAAGGTCTTTAAATTCCCTTTATAATGAGCTAAAATACATGAGCTTCAGTTCAGTAGTTTTGAAGATTTATTGATTTAAAGCTTAAAGTAGACTTTAATAATAATAATAATATTTATTCGCCAAAATACAAAAAATGGGCAAATAAATATGAAAAAACCACAGAAGGCAACGCCTGTGTGTGGTTTATATCTTAATAACTAACAATCAATCATATATGTGTATAACAATTGTTAAATCTAAAAGGTATGAACGTAATTGGAATTTTGTAGTTTTAGTTTTCTATATAATTATGTATAGTCATTCGCTGCACATTACTAATAGGTTCATCAGATTAGTTTGTACTACTTTCAGAAGAAATTTGTCTAAAAGAATTTAGTTAATAAGTAAGAACGCTTTTCTTCACTAAGTCCATGGTTTGCTTATCATTTTGTTGTTGAAAATAACTATTGGAACGTTTTTTTCTGGCAAAAAAGTTATTTCTTGAAGTAAAATAAGGCAATATCTCATATTTATTTTAAATAGGAATTTGGTACATAGTTTGCGATTGATTTGACCAAACTTTGTTGCTAAAATAACTTGTAACGCTTTATTACATAAATTAACCATAATATATTCCACAGCAGAAAGAGTTGAAATTATCGAAATATTTTTCGGAAATAATCAGTGCGCTAATAGAACAGCAGAAATATTTGAGCGACATGAGAACAGTAACGTGCATTGAAAATATGTTTTAGAACTTGTAGCTAAATTTCGGGAAACTGGGTCAGTCGCCAATAAAAAACGCAACATTGAAAATCCCATAAGGAACGAAGCAATAGAAGTGGGGGTTTTAGGGCAAGTTTATGTAGATAGTACGTTAACTACCCGCAAACTGGAGACTGTGTGTGGTGTCAGTCGACGTACTGCCCAACGGATTCTGAAGGCCCAAAGTTTTCATCCGTATAAAATTCACCTGGAACAAGAACTTAATGAAGACGATTTTGATCGGCGATTACAATTTTGTGAAGATATGAGTGAACGAGTTATAAACGATGAACATTTGCTTTTCCGACGAATGTTCCTTTTTCTTAAATGGCGTAATAAATCGTCATAACTGCCCATATTGGTCCGATTCTAATCCTAGAATTTATCATGAGGTTCATACACAGCAGCCACAAAAATTAAATGTTTAGGCTGGTTTTTTTGGCCATCATTTAGTTGGTCCTTTTTTCTTACCTGGAAATTTGACCGGTGAAATGTATTTGGAATTACCGGAAGAGGCCCTAGATCCTGCATTAATACCCATAATTGAAAATCAGAATGATTGGCGGTACATTGCGATTAGGTTGATGTTCCAACAGGATGGTGCCATACCCCGTTACGCATTACGTGTTCGACAATATTTAGATCAGTCGTTTCCAGATCGATAGATTGGTAGAAGAGGTGCCATTGAATGGCCCCCAAGATCGGCAGATTTATCACCTTTGGATTTCTTTAAGTCGGGTCATTTAGAAAGCAAAATCTATGCTACTCAGCCAACATCATTAGAAGACCTGCGACAAAGAATTGTGAATGAGTGCCCTCAAATTACTCCTCAAATATTGCAAAATATGCGGCAACGTTTTGAGCAAAATCTTTGTTGTTGCATGGAGAGTCATGGTGGCCATTTTCAATATTACTTGCCTAACGGGTCAGTTCATTCTTCATTTTTAAATTACTTTGCTGCCAAATGTATTGATCTCCACTAATGATGATGTATTAGTTTTATTTAAGCTTTAAATCAATAAATTTTCAAAACTACTGAACTGAAGTACATTAATTTTATATCATTATAAAGGGAATTTAAAGACCTTTAACATAAGGTATCACTCGACCCCCCTTTCCATTTAAGATTTTGGGGGTGATGCCACCTCCGCTTAGAGGGCTGCACGTGCTAACGTGATTTTTATCCAAACAAAATCGACGGGTCTGAGCGTTGTTCCAAAGAAACTGAGCTGCCAGTGAATGCGTCTGTTTCGTTTTCGATGCGCCACCCTGCATATTAGCCAACCATTGGATGTATGCGTGCACGGATGAACATTTTGAAGAGCACATTCATTGAGAGAGACGCTAATGATCTATTGATGTGCTGTGTATTTAGAACGTGGTATTCGTACTAAATGGCATTCTACGAACATGCATAACAACTGATTTTGTTTACTTGGTATCAGCTCGCATCCCTTTTTATCTTTCCAGGAGGAGCAAGGTTAAGAATGTGCGTGGCGATAGGCAGAAAGCTGCTCATGTTCCAGTGGAAACATTCAGCTGCATGGACAGCATGGTGTCCTTCAAGTGACACTGACACTGTCGAAGGGTTCTCATTCTTATGGGTAAGTTATTATTTTTGTTTTTACTGGAATTGTTGAACATTTATTCTGATGATGTTTAGATGTAAGGATGCCAATTAAGGTTAAGTAATGCATTAACAATAGCATCAACATGTCTCCACTTATATTCCTTCAAATTGTAAAGAGGTAAAGATGACACCGTATTTTAAAAAATGATGTCAAGTCAATCCGCAGAGTAGAATGAGTATAGGTAAAAAGCAGTACTGATGATTTGGAAAAAAATGGAATTATCCATGGACTTCGAATATATGCAAAATGTAGTCGAGTCAACTTTCATACCTTCTAATACCTTTACTAGTGGCTGGATAGAGAAACCCTTACAGCTGGTGTTTTATAGTATGAATATAATTCGACTGTTGTTTTATTGTGTTATGTTATTTTTTGGTCAACTTTTATACACAAACATTTCATTTCGCCCCTAACAAAAAAAAGAAGTCAGGAAGATCTTGGAAAACAATCTGCATGAACTCGCGAAGCATCGGTAGCATTTCGCTGTAAATCAAAATAATAATAGACGTGTCCGATTGCTATATGAGTGGGACATTTCTGTTTTATTATCTCTTTTTCGGAGCCTAACATGTCGGTAATCTTAGGACTTTGTGTATCATGTTGCTGGGAAAAACTGTTAGTTTTCCAAGATCTATACGCCGTGTAAAGGCAAGTCCTAACCTTGACGGCACCCTGCACATTTAGTAATGTCAACGTCAGTGTTCGATGAGTAGCGATAATAAGATAAATTCTTATCTTTACGCCAACTGAACTAAACTCTTGAACGCAGTACCGTTGCGTGTTTCGTATTTGTTCATCGCGAGAGTACGTACACTCGGAAAAAAGTTGTTACCGACCAATAAAGATACAAAGATAGCAGTTCTCTTGAAAACGTTTTATTTACGCAACTTTCTCGACGTACAGGGTTTGTCCGGAAAGTAATAGGTCTGAGTCGATTTATTGGGCCAATCGTTACAATTCTTCAAAAACTTTCAAAATAGGCTCCTTCTGCTCGATTTCCAAGCATCGAAGGCGTCACGGAAGGCATTCTCCAGAATAGCCTTGAGAGCCGCGGTGCATGCTGCTTGCATCCCCTCTGTCGTCTCAAAATGCTTGCCTTTCATCGGCCTTTTCAGGCGAGGAAACAAAAAAAGTCCGGGGGGCCACATCTGGGCTGTAGGGCGGCTGCAGAAGCGTTGGGATGCCGGCCTTGGTCAGGTAGCTGTTCACAAGAAAGGCTGTGTGAGCCGGGGCGTTGTCGTGATGCAACTTCCAGTCGGCTGCGATGTCTTGTCGGACCCGACTGACCCTTCGTTTGAGTCTCCTGAGCACTTCCACGTAAAACTTGGCGTTGACGGTTTGTCCAGGAGGAGATTCAGAGAAGGCCATACTCCCAGAACTCTCGACCTGATATTTGTAAATGATCCTGACTTTGTTTCCAGTCTAGACTACCTACCTCCTTTTGGCAAGTCGGATCACTGTACCTTATTGACCTCACTTCAATTCTATGTACAAACTCCATCACGTAGACATTTCAAAACTGTGAAGCTATTAAACTACAGTGCTCTCAATCGAGCATTGTCTGAAATAAACTGGTCCAACCTGCTTGCACAACGTAGCACTGAAGATATGTGGGATATATTCTCTCGTCGAATCCAACTGGAAGTCACTAGGCATACGACCACAAAGAAGATATTCAGTCACCCAAGAAAGCCTTGGATTAACCATAACCTCTCAAGGATGTTGAGGCATAAAAAAGCGTTATGGCAAAGATTGAAAAGAAGTAGACTACAACAGGATTATGTATCTCATCGATCTTTCTCTAACATCCTTCCGACGAACTTGAAAAACGCCAAGCGCAATTATGAGCAAAATCTTGTATCACCGAAAGATAAGAAGAAGTTGTTTAGATACTTGAGATCCACCCTGAACTCTAAGGTTTCTTCCCCACAAATCCGTGATCCCAATGGCCACCTACATACTGATGCCGAAAAATCTGCCGATCTTCTTGACGATGCTTTCAGTGAAGACTTTGTGAATGAACCTGATGGTGATGGTACTCTTCCGAACTTATCCAGCCCTCATAGATGCCTAGCGACCATCTGTAGCATAGATTTTCAACCTCAGGACATTGAGAGGCACCTTACTAAACTGAAAACTTGTTCGTCCCCTGGAAAGGATGGGATTACTTCTGCCGTTATGAAGTCCTGTGCCTCAGCTCTCGCATACCCCCTGTGCATTATATTCAACTCCTCGATTCAAAATCACATTTTTCCTTCCTGTTGGCGTACTGCATCTGTGACACCTATATACAAAAAAGGAGATAAAACATCTGCGAAAAACTACCGTCCTATCAGTCTTGTGCTTATAGCTGCGAAAATAGCCGAAAAGATCGTCCAGGAACAACTTATGACATTTGCGTTCAAGAACAACCTGCTGCCTAGCAACCAACATGGTTTTATTCCTGGTAGATCAATTATCACCAACATGTTACACTGCATTGACAATTGCACCAGATCTTTAGACGCAAATGAACCGGTCGACGTGGTTTTTCTGGATTTTTCCAGAGCTTTCGATCGAGTTCCGCATAAAAGGCTCCTGCACAAGCTTGAACATCTCGGAATCAGGGGAAATTTGTTGTTATGGATTGAAGCTTTTTTGTTAGACAGATCTTTCTCCGTCCGTGTTGGAGACGCCTATTCTTCTAGTCATCGTGTTACTAGTGGAGTTCCACAAGGATCTGTGCTAGGGCCAATACTTTTTCTTCTTTATACAAGCGACCTTCCCACCCGACTGTATTCTATGTGTTCCATCTATGCAGATGATACTAAAGTCTATAACACTGTCATGAACTCATCTGTGCTTCAAAAAGACCTAAAGCTGATCAGAAAGTGGTCAGAACTCTGGCTCCTGCCTTTAAATCTATCGAAATGCTACGTTCTCCACCTGGGAAAGAATAATCCTAACTTAACATATAAGATTGGCAAACATACCTTAGAGACTGTTCTTCATCACACAGATCGTGGTCTGACAGTTAATGGCCGGCTCACCTGGTCGGAGCACATTCAGAACATAACCTCTAAGGCAAAGCGGTTGCTATATATGATGGAAAGGTCATGTAGCGGTTGCACCGTTAGTACCTCCTCCTTTTTGTACACAACTTTCGTACGACCCCTACTGGAGTTTGCTGGTCCGGTATGGGATTCAAACCTTGTTCGCGATAGCAGCTTATTAGAGGCCGTTCAGCGTCGTGCTACACGTATGCCATATGGCACACGTAGGCCAAATTATGAAGACCGCCTCGAGCTATATAACCTGCCTGCTTTTGCTGATAGAAGAGTACGAGGAGATCTCATCATCACTTTCAGAGCACTGCATAATTTGTTTGGTGTGGACATGTCGCATCTGTTTCGTCTGGCAACGAACAGTCTCAGAGGCCATAACTTCAAATTGCAGAAGGAAGCTTTTAGAACCTGTACTCGTCAGCGCTTCATCTCAAACCGTGTCTTCGATGCATGGAACAGTCTTCCATCTTATGTAGTGAACTCGGAATCCGTCAACAGTTTCAAAAACAATTACGATAGACACCGCAGTGCTTAACATATTGTTCCCATTCTGTATATGTCTACTTCAGAAGTGCTAAGTTTGTCAAATTGTTATATTTCTTTTGTCTGTACACTATTATCTATTTTTGTGTTTGAGTTTATAGTACTTGTACTCAACTCAAATTTGTTGTTTAATAATAATAATAATAATAATAACAAATTCATGGTGGACGATGCCTTTGATGTCAAAAAAGACAATGAGCATCGTTTTCACTTTGGATTTGCTCATTCTTCCCTTTTTTTGGGCGAGGAGACGCCGTCGTGTGCCACTCGGAAGATTGCCTCTTTGTCTCGGGATCATACTTAAAGATCCTCGACTCATAACCTGTGGTTACGTTATTCAAAAATTGCGGGTCACTATCACACATGTTCAAATTTTCTTGGCACACTTCCACTCGCCGCAATTTCTGGCCGTCAGTGAGCACTTCTGGGACCATCTTCGCGCACACCTTGCGCATGTTCAAATGCTGTGTCACAATGTCATGAACCACAGATTTTGGTAAATTTAACATCTGGGCAATTAAACGAATACTTAGTCGACGGTCTGAGGTCAAAACATTGCGCACACGAGTCACATTATCGGTGTTTGTCGAAGTCTTCATCAGCGACCTCTTCCCGGCCCTCCAAAAAGGCCTGGTGCCCGGGTAAGCCTGCTTGATCATATCAAACGTCTCTGTCGCAGATTTACCGCGTTTCACACAAAATTTAATCGCGTACCTCTGCTCAAACGAGCGCTGCATTTTCGGCTTGCACCACTTACAGAAACACGTTGCGCGAAAATGCCTGTCCTGACTCTCCAAGTGCTCGGAGACAACTGACCAGCCGCTCGTTCGTTAGCTAGGAACGCCCTCTACCGAATCCAGTTGGTACGCGCACGCTCTGAAGTACAGCATGGCGGAAGAAAATGAGTCCTGTTACTTTCCGTACAAACCCTGTATATTAAGCTTTATTGCTGACTTGCGTATATCAAAAGCTCTTGCCCCGTTTTCACGCCCTCCCTTTTAAAAGTGAACGAAGATCTCATTTTAAGGAGATCGTAGTATTTTATGGGACAGGCTTCGGGTTGTTCAGGGAATCCTTTTGCATACCTTCTTATTTACATCTAACCGTTACAAATGGCCACGCAAAGTGATATACGACGTTGCCTCTGGTCAGATATACATTACTTAGAGAAATTTATGGTGGAAGGAATCCGGAAGAGATTGTTTTAATTTTAGTGGAAATATCTTCGTTAGCGCAACGTGTTCTCAGGTAATATATATTTATATTAATACTGTTCTAAATTTTTCTATTATCTCAGTTACAATAAATTCAGCATTCCAACAGACGTCCATCGAACATTCAGTTATGGATGGATGTAATTTGCGACATCTATGTCTATCCTCAGCC